TCCTTCTTCCTCTTCCTCTTGGCTGTCGTCTGGTGGTATGTCGCCAACACCAAGGCAGATGTTGTGCAGCATGGTGTACACACAAATATGAAAACAACATTCTGTCACCTTAAATTGTAAATTATTTGATCTGACATTAAAGTTGTGTGTTAAGTAAAGGTCAAATATATAGAAAAATAATGCAACCTTTGGTGCAAATGTTGGATGCACTTCAAGTGCCTGATGGAAGATGGCTCTAAATCACAACTTCATCATTCCAAAAGCACACTCAATAATTGAGCAGCCTTTGGAAAGATGTGCATTGAAGTGCTGAGTAGATGGTGAGGCTGGATTCTTAAATGGTGCCATGATTGTGATTGGCTTCTCTGTGCAGGGGTACCCACCATCACCGAGGAGGAAAAAGCCCTGAGGTGGATATTTTGCCTGTTTTTAAATGGGGCTGTTCTTAAGCACCCGTGAGTCGTGGACACTCCCGGAGTACCCTACAAAAATGTCTAAAATGCCACTTGATGGTCGCATATCCCTTGAAGCAGGATGGAGGCAAACAGCTTTCTGTTTTTATAACACTGTCCATCAGGGCCAGCTGGTGGTTTTATTTTCACATGGCATCCATCAATTGCTCCAACAGCTTTACTAAATGCCTGGTGATTGGTGAGAGAAGCAAAGCCAGTGTAACCGGCCCCACGCTGTCACTGTTATGGTCTGCGTTGTGTTATAAATGAAGAGACGGATCACGGGAACTGCTGCTGATGGAGGGTTTAATAACAAGGAGCATGCAGATGCTGGATGGAGTAGAGAGAGAGTACAACAATGAGAAATGTTTTCATTCTGTGATTTTTTCCACCTCTCCTCAGTGTGCTCAACATGGTCTGAGAACGCAGCGCGGTCTGAACAGAAATGACGTCACGATGTAAAATTAATATAAAACTCTTTTCGCAAAAATGACACAAAGTACAAAATTAAATTATCACTTTTTCATGAACAACTAATATAAAGTAAATACATGAAAATTGAAAGGAAGGATCATTAGTGAAATACATTAATTTAGATCGTGAGTGCACACTCTTATTAACATCCGTCACACCAGCACCAACCTGAAGCAGGTGTTCTTCTGACTTTGGTAGGGCCATGACCTTTGGCAAAATTGCCATGACTTCATCAGCCACTTGATGTATAATTCTGTGAATAGTTGGCCGTGGCATCCCAAAAGCCTCTGACACAACCCTGTAAGATGCAACACATGCCAACCAATACAAAAACACCAAGGTCTGCTGTGTTGTACCCCTGCTATGTCTCTGTTGCTAAAGAAGGAGCTCCATAAGTTTATTGAGGCTCTCTCTCGTCAGACGAAAGGCTGCTTTTGTATCCCCTCCATCAAAAAACTTCTCAAGAACAGGGACATGGGTGTTGAGCCTGCAATTCTTGATGTCTGTCTGTATGAAACAAGATAATAAAAATTATATGTACAAATACATACTACTGAGGGTTGAGGACACTCCGTACACACATCCTACAGAGGATGCGACCTCCGGAGGGTGCAGCATTCGAAATGAGACACAGCTAATGTTGCTCTATGCCGGTAGGGAATAGTAAGATGGCGGTGTAGTGTATCAGAGCGAATCAGACAATTTAAGATTCGATCAGATCATTGTTGAAACACAAGGAGCCAAATTCCACAAAGAGGCCCAAGACAACATGGATGATCGTAAATCAGATCCTAGCGCCAGCCAGCCTGAAGTAAGCTTAACCAACCAACTCCACATTTTGAACAGCTTGCAACATTAACACAAAAGAACACTTATTGACAGTGGTGTAATGTAACAAAGTAATAATACGTATTTAACGTATTTTTTGAGTATCTGTACTTTACTTGAGTTTTTATATTTCAGCCAACTTTTACTTTTACTCCACTACATTTCCTAATTAAAATGTATACTTTTACTCCGATACATTTCCCCGAAGCATAGCCTATTTGTTACTTACAACAAAATAGTTAGAAGTCAGAAGAACATGGACTGCAGGAAAGCAGGTTTGACGAATCAGTGGTCTGGCGTCTGCAAGTTAGACTTCTAAAAAACACTTTTACTCATCTGCAAACAAGTGCTCACACAACTGCGGTCGATTTCCTTTTCTTCTCAAGTCGAGGTTGGGGTGTGCTGTGCGATATACAGTATATCTTCTGTGATAATATGGTAAGTGTTGTTGTAATGATGTGCGATCTGCCATTATCAAGTATATCGCCAAATCACACACACAGAGTGCATACACGTGATTTATTAGTCTATTAAAACTCAAAATTCAAGGCATTCTAAATTGTAGACGGCAAAAATGCTTCTGTATTATTTTTATATTTATATAATTTAATATAGTGAACTTAATCTATATCACACAAAGAGTACCGTTTTTCTGCAGATATCAGCATGATAACACATTTAATAATCATTTTATAAAAGTTCAGTAAAGCAATAAGTGACTAACATTTTAGAAATAATATTGCTTGATTTTGCTCAATTTTGCTAACAAAAATAGTTATATCACAAGGTTCTATCATTCAGAAACATGGCTTTTCATATCACTGCTATGCTGATGACACTCAACTCTACCTCTCATTCCATCCTGATGATCCGACGATAGCTGCTCGCAT